TGATATTACTACTTGGCATGTATTAATTATCTTAAAAAAACGTCATCCGGTGGGTGGGGTATAGGTACATTATACCGCAAAAACAGCATGCATCGATGGCGCGGCTGCATTGGTAATTTGGTACCAACTGTCTACAGAATCTTGATCAGAGCGAAAGAACCCCCTTTTCAAAAAACGATCGTACCTCCAAAATCAAACGAAGCACCGCACCGATTCATTTTTTACACCAGACGACCAAGTCAATCAAATGACAAAGGAATTTTTTATGAGCATCAATAAAGATCCAGTCGGGACCTGGAAAACCTTTAAAAGATTCAGTCGTCTGCCTGTTTGTAAAAATATAAAACGAAAGTGGCCGTTTCACACAGCTACTACATAGTACATACCGCGTTAAACGCAGCGGGGTTTGATGGCGCGAGGTTCAGTATTCATTCCTTCCTGCGCGGTGGTGCAACATTCGCGTCCGAATGTGGAGCGTCACCAGATGCTATAAAAGCGCAGGGTAACTGGCGTAGCGCGTGTTTTGAGAAGTACATCGCGCGCGACAACGACCGTCGTCTTGTCTTTGCCCGTGCCGCAGCCACGGGTTTTCCTTGGGTTTCTTTTGGGGGCTCACTGCGTTGAGCTGCTTGTTTGTCCGCCTCTCCTTGTGCGGTTTTGTTCGTGTTTCTCCTGCTGTTTGTTGTGACGACCGTGTGTTTAGCCAGAATGTTGTCTTCGGTGTTCGCTACGCCCATAAGAAGTAAAGCTTCTGTGCCGATCAGTCGTGCCGGTATTCTTGTTTACACATCATTCACACGCTGAGACGTTATACCGAAAGAGTTTGCAGTAAAAAAACGAAAGTTTATGAAAGGATATTCATCAGCCGGCTATAATCACCTAAAGATGTAAGGCTGCAATTAGTTCTCAATTCGGTGGTTCCGTAGCAGCAAAATATTCAATTTAAGCAAACAACGCTTTCGTTCAGATCGCTAGCTGTGTTTCGGCAAACGTCGACTCTAGATCTACCACCTGCGTAACCGATTTCCGCTTGGCCAGGTACACGTACATATAATAATCCTGCAGAGTATTAAGACGGGCTGATCGTAGTACAACTGTACAATAATCAGTTTAAACAAAGTAACATTCTTAACACTGCCAACTCCTGAGGTGTCGATTCTACCCAACAAATTTCCTGCACGTTCACATCGTTCATTTCCAGTGCTGGAATCTCTAACGGGATTTGTCGGTACGGTGCTTTGCCATCCGGAAACATCTGTACCACAACTGACATTAATAAAAGATTACTAAACCGGCTAGATCCGCCATACTAACTTTCTGAACCATTTGTTCGTCTACCAATATTCACAGGCAACGAAGATGAAATTCTTTTGCTGGTAGGACGGAAGGCTTCTACAACATATGCTGACCAACACAAAAGTGTTCGGCGCCCTTTGCTCCGGACGGAGAACAAACCCTGTACAATACATATTACTCGAAATGTATACGTATCACCACCATCTACACCAAACGTAGGATGACTGACAACTCCTAAAAAGAAAATTTTACCAGCTAATCACATATGCTTTAAAAGAAAGCGATCTGCTTACGCATTTCGGGCACAATTCGCAAAAGATCCCATCTGAAAGTTTTTCATGCTTAGGCGAAATCCTAATTAGACATGTATAGAAGTAGTCAAAGTTCGCAACGGGGTGTGCGGGTTCAGCTGCAGATGCAATATTGGCAGGAGGAAAAGGAAATGGCTGTTCGCGTGGTAGCGGAATTAATGGCTTGCTTGCTGCGCGCGAATAAAATGAAAACACACTTTTCAATGATAATCTTTCGTTACATTGACAGACGTACTCGTAATTCGTATACGTACGTATCGCACTATGCGTACACCCTCGCTTGGCAGTTTGTTGTGTTTTATTGCGCGCCCGCCTTACGTGTAGCGAACGCATGGTGTTCTTTGTGCAACATATGCCCCTATGCAACCTGCGAAGTTGCCCATGAGGAATTTCTATCAAAAGTAGTGTTGTCATAAAATTCTAGCAATCACGTCTTATTTTCGCTTTTCCATAGCGTAGGCGTTTTAGCATTGCCAGAGTTCTTTGGTAGACAGAGTTACGTCAACTCCGATTCTACGGCGTGAACCTTGCCAGGTTCGTGCCTCATAGCACTGTGAGTCTCTGCTGCTTCATCGTGCATAGTACATAACTATCAGATTATTAATTACGTACGAGGATTTGTTTTGTTTTCTAAGTAAATTTGAGCAAAGGTAAAAAATTTCAAGAGTAATTTCATTAAACCATCTGTGACTGTCTGAAGGCATGCACCAAAAAGGGGTCCGAATTGAAGAAATCTTCAGGATCACACGCATCAATGACATTGGCCAATCGCCACAGCGTACTGCCTTTTTCGCCCGTTCGCAATGCCCAGACGGGATCGTCTTCATGGAAATTAATAGTTTATAAACCCAGGATCGTCAATGCTTCTGCTCACTTGTCAGGAGATGAAATAGTGACCTTTTCGGATTATTCGCTGCTCTCCGCGTCAAAGAAAGACCTCCAGTATTGACACGTTATAGTGTGCGACTGGTGAATGCTGAGTTGCTGACCAAGTTTTTCCGAGTACAGATACGTGTCAAATTCTGATTCTGACAACTTATTTTGCTAAATACTGGTTATCGTTTTGCTAAAAGAAATAGAACTGGAACTTACATGTATAGATAAAAAACCCAAGTTTAAACATAACATACAAAGACGTGTAGATATGTTCAAAAAATTTAAACTTCTTAAAAAGAATTTTGCCGTGCACACAGCCAAAGCCCGTTTCCGTGCACGTGGCCAAACCCGTGCAAACACCCGTGCACGCAGCCAGCGTTCGTGTTGTTCCGTGCTCGCAGCATCGACCTTATGATTATTGTAGCTACTTGGTACGTACGTATTTATTGATCGAATACAAAGACAACTAAGTCTTTACAACTCACAAAAGAAACATCACATCCGAATATTAACAAACAGCAGAAACATGCGGGCGGATTACAGTAGCTACTTAAATGACAATACAATCAGAGTTTTGTAAGTACAGTACAGGATGACCCCTGTGATTGTTTAATATCCATGTAACAGTACGTCTTACTGTATTAACA